GCGCCGTTGGGAATGGGCCGCGCTGGCTCGAGTGCCTGGGGCTGGCTCTCTGCTGAGCTGTGAGGGCGCCCATCCAACTGGGGCGCTGCCCCCTCGCGGGGCCGCCCTACTTAGCTGTGCTTTTTAACTTCCCAGAGTTGACTGCCGCGGCGGCACAATTCCTCTTGCCGCTTTGAAACGATGTATTTTGTGCGCTAGTGTATCCGATGAACGGAATTTAACGATGTCTGCCGTGTACTGTACGGGACTTCTTCGTGGAAGGTGGTTTACTGTGTCCAAACTGAAATTCTCGGAAGAAGACTTATCCATTGAATCGACGTTATGCTGCCCAATTGTCATGCCCCTGGACTGCTACAAAGTTGATTAAAAACCTCAGTGGGATTAAATCGTTAAAATGACTTGAAATTCACCTTTATATCAAAATAAAACGTTTTATTGACTCAGTTTCAAACTTGTTCACATTAATGAAATGAAAATAAGTTACTGCCATTTGTTGAAAGGCTGTTGCGCTGAGAGATTTGCAGCTTATCTAGCGGTGCCCTTGGGAAAATTAAATTTGTTGGCGCCAATTCCTTAAATTATTTTAGATTGCTTTCAAGTTTTAAAATCCGATGGCTGTTCTGAAATATTAGTGATAATGTAGCGAGTTTTTGTGCTTTGATTCCAGGTCAGTAAGACCCTTTCTCTTCCAGAATGATATTAAACTAGGGACTCTATTAGCAGCTTCCCTTATGACATGGAATATGTTAACCAGTTCTTCTATATTTGTGTCCTGCTTCCCTACCATATTTCAAGTGTTGGAAGGGCAACGTGATTAATGGATTACTTTATATTTTCCATCCAGCCATGCCTTCCTAGAAGGATCATTTGAGTTAAGAAAATAGAATTAGTGTGGCAGCGTTTTTGGAGCAGCTGTGAAACCAGAAAGTGTAGGGGACAGGCAAAAAACTTTGTTTTCTGATTTGCTATACCTGGAAAAGATGACAGACAGTGGTATTATTTTAGTATTTGAGTTTTTATTTTAGCATTTAAATATCTGAAAAATTTTGTTTTCAGAAGCTAGGAGATAGTTTTTCTGGATACTTAATAACCATTATCAAAACACTTCCTCGCCTAAAATCTGGCTTCTGCTAATAAAATTTTTATTTATCCTGAATTAACTTTTTGACAGTACCTGTCTTAAAGGTAAATAGTATACCTATTAACATAGTTTTTATTTTTAAACAAACTCTCAACCAACCAAAATGAAAGCATTAGAAAATTTTTCTTGGCAACATCCTATTGTAAAAACACTGACCTTTGTCAGAAACAGGTTGGCATTACTCTTCCTTACAGTTATAGAAAGATGGACCGGGGGTTACTTTGGGTTTTTTACTTTGACATTTTAGAACTGGCTTATACATTGCATACTGGTAACAGTGGTGATCAACTATATTTTTAGTGGTATACAAACAGATATGTGCATGTTTGGACATCCAGTGATAAATGCAGCGAACATACGGTTTTAACCAAGACAGTGAACTAAAAGTTCAATGTAACTAAATATGTAACTATTTAAATATATATTAAATATATAATATGAGGCTTGCGACTGGTTTCTATCATGAGACTATATTCACTTTTATGTTCCTTGTCTTTATAGGTTTTAAAATCAAACATGGGAAAATCGGAGAAAATTACCATTCCCCACGGGCAGCTTGTTCATGGTATGCATTTGTGTGAACAACCAAAGATAAACAGACAGAAAAGCAAATATAACTTACCACTAACCAAGATGACCTCTGCAAAAAGAAATGAAAATAACTTTTGGCAGGATTCTGTTTCGTCTGATATAATTCAGAAGCAGGAAAAAAAGCCTTTTAAAAACACTGAGAACATTAAAAAAAAGCATTTGAAGAAATCGGCATTTCTAACTGAAATGAGCCAAAAGGAAAATTATGCTGGGGCAAAGTTTAGTGATCCACCTTCTCCTAGTGTTCTTCCAAAACCGCCTAGTCACTGGATGGGAAGCACTATTGAAAATTCCAACCAAAATAGGGAATTGATGGCAGTACACTTAAAAACTCTCCTAAAAGTTCAAACTTAGATCTCGGATTTCAGTATGTATGTAAAACATAGTTTTTCCAAAATCCCTGAATTCTTGAAAAGAAAATTGGTATAGAAATGGAAATTTGCCTTGTTGTAACCTAGGAGGGCAAAAGATGGGTTTTAAAAAATTACAAACAGCTTGTATTATGTTTTATATTTTGTAAATACTGTATACCATGTATTATGTGTATATTGATACTTCAGAGGTACATTATAGTTTTGTTATGAAAGTATATGTATTTTGCCCTGCCCAAATGGTAGGTGTTTTGTATATATACAATGGAGAAAATTTTAAGTGTGTGCTAAGGCACATGGAAGACCAATTTATTTGCACAAGGTACTGAGAGATTTTTCAAGAAACAGCTGTCGAATCTCAAGGTGAAGATCTAAATGTGAACAGTTTACTAATGCACTACTGAAATTTAAATCTGTGGCACAATCATTGTAAACATGAGTTTGTCTGTTTCTCTAAATTGATTTCTGCCTTCTAATCTGTAATTACTGGAAAACTTCTCACGTTTACTAAACTTAATTTCTGGTTTTTGGTTTATATCCATATCCAAATTTAAAATATCTCTTAATTTTAATGCCAACAAAATCGGTTGTAATCAAATTCTAAAATAATAATTTGGCCCCTTCCTCCCCCTTTTATAGTCTTGACTCTTTGTGTGTGCCTGTTTTTCATGTTTGTGTGAGTAGGAGGTGGATTTTCACTTTCACTTTACTGGCTAAATGTGTTTAACTTTATACTAATTATCCATCCTCCATCTGGAATTTAGAGGGTTCCATAATAGTACCTCTTAGGGGAGGAATTCCCCATTTTACAAATGGAAATGGTTGTGGTCAAAAGTAAAGCTGATTAGTTGATAACTTAGAATATATTTATATATGAACTGTTTCATAAAGTACTATTTCACTTGACCATACCATACATTTTTAGTGAAAGAAATGACACTTGTTTGGTTTGCTGGATTTATATTGGTAATGAATGGTGGTACTTGAACCAAAGCAAGCATAATTGATGTTAAAATAATAGATGGAGATTTGGATTCTGAAGCTTGCTTGAAGATAAATACGGCAGCTAATGTATTTTTGTTACAATTTAAACTGTTCTTTTACTTCGTAGTATGTAGTTTTTAGTTACAAAAAACTAAAGTTTATCTCAAAACGGAATGTTTTTTTTTGAAATAGGCAATATTTAGACATGAAAAGGAAAAAGGTGTTAAGAGGGTATATAGAGGATTCTACAAGGTAGAATAAAGGTGCTACCATCCTTACTAGAAAAAATAAAAGGGTTCTATGGTTTACATTTTATCCTCAGACTATGCAAAACCAACAAAGGATGCTCACATGGCCTGCAGAGTCTTAGGTCTTACCCTCCTGTGCCATTTGGTTCACATGGGAGAGGAGGAGTTCACTTAACTTTCTGGCTGTACAAAGGTTGGTAGTGGTGTGGGCATCTTAACTTAGAATCACTATTGACTTGAGTAGTGAGAGAGTACAACATGTTACAGCTGTCACAAAATCAGAATTAATAATTTGCTGTCTTGTAGATGCAGCTCATATGTAATTCAGCCAACCATTATTCTTTAGCACTGGCTTTGTTTTTTGTTTTGGGTTTTTTTTGTTAATTACCCGAGGGTATTTTTCCATTGATTTTTAGAGAGAGTGGAAGGGGGAGAGACAGAGAGAAACATCAATGTGAGAGAAACATGGATGTGAGACACTTGCCAACTAATTGGTTGCCTCCCACACATGCCCCAACCAGGGCCAGGATTGAGTCTGCAGCTGAGGTATGTGTCCTTGATGAATAGAACCTGGGACCTTTCAGTCTTAGGGCAGGTGCTCTATCCACTGAGCCAAAAACCAGCTAGGGCTGGCTTTATTCTTTTATGTATGTAGAGAAAGCTATACTTCATTATGTGTGTGTCACACACACATACATAGCTATATATAGCTGGCTTTAAAAATGTATTTAGAGAAGAAAGATACTCTTTTTTTAAAATCTTTATTATTGAAAGTATTGCATGTGTTTCCCTTCTTCCCCCATTGACTTCTAGCCCACCCTAGGCCTTCACCCTATTGTCAGTGACCATGGTTATGTATATGTGCATACAAGTTCTTTAGTTGATCTCTTCCCTATCTGCCACCCTCCCCGGCCTTCCTTCTGAGGTTTGACAGTCTGTTCAATGCTTCTATGTCTCTGGATCTGTTTTTGTTCATCAGTTTATTTTGTTCATCAGTTTATTAGATTACACATATGAGTGAAATACTTCTTTCTCTGACTGGCTTATTTCACTTAGCATAATACTCTCTAGGTCCACCCATGCTGTTGCAAATGATAAGAGTGCTTCCTTTATTACAGCTGCATAGTATTCCATTGTGTAAATGTACCACAGCTTTTTGTACCCACCCACCTGTTGATGGGCACTTGGGTTGTTTCCAAATCTTAGCTATTTTAAATTGTGCTGCTATGAACATAGTGGTGCACATATTCTTTCTGATTGCTGTTTCTGATTTCTTCGGGTATATTCCTAGAAGTGGAATCACTGGATCATGTGGGAGTTCCATTTTTAATTTTTTGAGGAAACTCCATACTGTTTTCCACAGTGGCTGCACCAGTCTGCATTCCCACCAGCAGTGTACTAGGGTTCCCTTTTCTCCACATCCTCGTCAAAATTATTTTCTAGTAGGTGAGCTTTCAGCCTTGTAAAAGACTTTCTAAGGGAAGTGTTAACTGGTAGAAAGACTAAAATTCTTGAAGGCATGACATAAGGAAATAGACAAAGATTGAAATTAACCGTACCTCTGCTACGCTTCCCATTGGCTAATCAACGAGATATGCAAATTAACCACCAACAAAGATGGCAGCCAGCAGCCACGCAGCTGGAGCGAACAGGAGGCTTGCTTGCTCCAGTGATGGAGGAAGCCA